TTATTTGCATCGGAGCGTTGCAAACGAGCTCAAACCGGAACTACCGTTGACAGACAGCGCCAATGTTTATTAGCGGCCAACTATAAAGGGACGTAATGCGGTAGGCTGCCATCGTCAATTTACTGTTCTTTTATGGAAAAAAAAAATACTCTCAATCATGTACACTTTGGACATCATTCCATAGCCCGCTTACGCATGATATATTAAGGTTCATGTAAAGTCTGTTTTCAACTAAGTTACAAAAGGTCATAATTTCTTGAATTTTACCTCGATAGCCCTTATTTTGGTATCACTACGATCATTAGGATAAGAGTAAAAGTATGTATTAGCTTTCAGTTAAGTTCAGTTCGTTAATATTGTTTTAATTGCATTAATTACACGTTATGCAGGAAATAACATATCTACGAAAAACAGAGTCGACTTGCAAGGAAATATCAGTCAAGATCTTCCTTAGAACTCATTTTAGGTAGTGGGATTGTTGAAAGTTAATGAAACTGCTCCAAAAGACTGATAATCACAACTTTAAAGTCAAGTCATTAGTTAATTTACCATAAAAAAATCAGCCGTATTGGAACTACTTTTCTAAAACTATATAGGCCCATGTAGTGTAATACCAAACATCGAAAATTTCTAAAACCATCTTTTTAACCGAAAAATAATGCATGATATGTATGGTATGTTTTGTTAAAAAAAGAGTCAATAACAAATATTAGATCACAGTAGTTGATTTATATTGATAATTACATTAATTAGCATATTGCATTCACATACAAGACATTTGAATCATCGTATAAAACAGTTAACCTAGTGTCACCTTATTTTATGTCAACGGAATAGTAGGGTGGCGATAAAGTTACTAGGTATATTTGTAATTTTTTAAATACAAATAAATACCAATTCTTCAATGAAATTGACATAAATTCCATACATAAGATTTCAAGTTGATGTATTGTGCTATTATTTTAGCGGTTGGATCATGTGTCAAATTTTAATTTGAAAACCGTTCATCATTATTGAAACTTTTGGAATAATCACATTTCTTCCAACGTAATCAAGACATTGGCATATTTACCAATTTACATATCCGTAAAACGATATTCTCTGCAATACTTCGGCCAACTAAATCAGTCAAGTTTTACTTTCCCCATGGGCTACTCTGGTACGATTTGAGTGCTGCAGTACATCACACGCGAGTGTACAAACTTCAGAATGTTGCTTGACATGTAGTTGCAGCTGTGAAAAAAGCTTAGATGTCTTTTGCTTAGTGAGGAAGATACCACGACAACATCATCCCATCGGATATCACCATATCATAATTGTAGCTACCAATATTTACAAACACACAATGATGGGGAAACTGTCAGGCAACCAAGTAATCCTGCAAATAGTCAATTCTGTAAACCTTGTCATCCCCTTCATAGATATTTCTATACACTGCATCATCAAATCCATCATTCCTATAAAACTGAGTACTGTACAGTTGTAGATTGCCACTTTGTGTGTTTCATTGTCCTCTGGTGAAAATGAGTCGTCACACAAATTTTATTCAATGTTGTTCGTGCATTTCTGGAATAGACAATTACAAAGCTAGGTGTTAAAAAAAGGCAACCAAGTAATCCTGCAAATAGTCAAATTATGTTTTATACTGGCAGAAGGCATGTGCAGGCAAGTGATTGGGCAACCCCCAACGTCAATACCTACACAGTCGTCTACCAGTATTAGGAAAGGGAATGGGGGGGGGGGGTGTACAAATATGTACAGCTCTGACAAGATTTAGCACTAGCCAAGAGTACCTTTGGGTTCTGGTAGTGAATTTCATGTTCTAATAGTCCTACATGTAGGAAATAATGAATTTATGTATTGGTCATTATTAGTGGAAATCTGCTGAAGTTTGTGTGCTCCACTGGTTCTGCGGGCAGACATTTTAACATGCTCGTTCGGAATATGTTAAGAATTTTGAACATCATAATTAGTCTGGATTTGCCCTTCTTTCTGTCAGTGGCACCGATCGAGTATAGTGATTTGATCAGGTTGATTATACTCCCAGGTTCACGAGTCCTGAAGTTGTTGTAAACGTATCGAGCAGCCCTATGCTGGACAGTTTCCAACAGAAAAAAAGATGGGTCCCAGCATGTAGAGGCGTATTCGATAGTTGATCTTACTAATGAGGTGTTGGTCTGGGCTTTCACTTTCCTGGAGCATGATGACATGTTGCGTCTCAGGAAGCCAAGTGTGTTGTTGGCTTTGTTGACAGTGGAGTTGATGTGGTTCCCCCAGCTAAAATCATTTGTTAGAGTAACTCCTAGGTATTTACTTGCAGATATATTATCCAGCAGGGTGTTGTAAAGCTGGTAAGCAAATTTCATGGGGACTTTAGTTTTGTTTTTCATTACATTGATGATGCAACATTTACCAGCATTGAAATTAATTTGCCAGTAAGTCTCCCACTGCTCTAGTCTAGCGAGATCTGCTTGCAGTTGTATGCAGTCATCTTTTGACTAGATTTCATTATAAAGGAGATAATCGTCTGCGAAAACTTTGAAATTGCAGGAGACCAACTGTACCAGATCATTAATGTAGACAAGGAACAAAAGTGTTTCGACTTCAGTAACATGAAGGACCCCAAATATGATAGGTGCTTTGTCTGGTTTAACCCTATTTAGCAGTACTTGTTGGTTTCTATTTTTATGAAAGACCTGATCCATGTACATTAAACGAATCTCACTGTCAGCTCGACTTACCAATGCAGATAGTCAAACCATGCTAATTATATATTTTTTTAATTCATTGTCCCAATCATTTCGATCACAGAACCCTCAATTACATTAACCAACTTTACCTGAATTACTAAACTACTATTAATTGGTGTCTAACGCGAGATCGAAACGAGATAATATTTGAATGTGTTAAAGATGTTAACATCAGATCAATATATGAATAAATGCTCTATTACAACACAATCATGACATATTTTGGGTTTTTTGGCAAACAATTAGTAGAGTTTTCTGGTGTGCTATAGTTCAGTGTAAATATTAACCAAACACTATGCTATACCTAGATACAATGGATGCTTGTCGACCATTCAAATTTCTAAAAGGAAACGGTTGAATATGAGTTTCCAAAAATGTTCCCGGGTTATTTTCCACTTGTATAACGAATAGTACATGTATCGTTATGTGTAGGAGGAAAATAAAAATGTATGTTAATTTATTGATATAATTAAAACAAATGATATTTTGATAGTAATAGCCAGCAAGATCGATGAACTTGATGTGCAATAAATACCTGATGAATATGGTTAAAGCTGTAAAATATACTCCTAAAATGAAAATGAAATCAGATGGCATTATTGTAATTTACAAAATAGATATGCTTAAAGAGGTAACTAACATTTTACCATAGATTGACGCTGGGCACATGTCCATTTTTATTGTTAGAAGTACTGGGACCTTACCATCAATTATAGATTTAATATCTTTTTTTTTCATTTAGATTTGTAGTTGACATTTTGATTGAGCTTGAAAAAAATATAATTTGTAAATTTTACTATCTTTTGCCACCGGTTATAAGTTTATTTAAAGACCATAACTAACGTCTGTTTTACAGTTATTTATATTGGGAATCTTCCCGTTTCAACAATGAACTACAGTGTACATGGATTAAATTTGGTGAAATATTTTTCACACTGTGTATATCTTTACAAAACTGTAAATGAACTCATTCAGCTAAATCCAACTTATCGAAAGCCAGAATTTCAAAATTATGTATTATTATAAGGCATTCAATCTTGCCAAATATTTTAGTGATATGTTCCGGAACTGTCAATACAAATCATGCAATGTCATTTGACCTGGTCCACAAGCTCCCTACGGGCATTGACGAAAATTCTAGTTTAATCCTTAGTAAATGTGTTGAACCACAAGTTAAGCATCATTAATGAATACAATTTTGTGATTAAATGTATTTCACTAAATTCCGCAACTTTCGTCTTGGATATATTTATTTTTAGACTATATTTAGTAACAATTTATAACAAAACATATTTCTGCGGGTGATTAAGAGAAAATGATAATGTCGTCAGCATACAGAAGTACAAACACATACCTGTCTGTGTTTCTATGTGTTCAATACAAAGGGAAGTTATAATTTCTATTTTAATTTTCGTAACCTTAATGAAAACAAATTAAAATCAATGATAAAGAATGAAAATAAAGATAGGGATAGCCTTTCTCCTCGTTGAACACAAACAGCACACACAAAATGTCTAACAGTGGAATAAATAATTTGCTCAAATGTGAAAATGGTCACAGTAATGTTTAAAACCAGGTTAAATACAATCTCCCTCCAATTATAGGCAGATATCATTTTTTATCAAAGCTAGGTGAAGTGCGGTGGGATCGCATAGAACGCCGACCGACGGCGCGCACTTTGAGCATGGCCAAAACAAACGCCGTCGCTCGGCGTTTTGATAGTGGGATCGCCGTGAGGTCGCCGTAGCAGCGCAGTTGGGTCTCCAACAACGCCAAATGATCGCCGCGGGCGCGCACAGAGGTCGCAGTGCGAACGCAATGGTAATTGGTGGCGCTTGCACGGCGACCGCACGGCGTTCCCTGAGATGACACTGCGTCTCTACCGCGCTTATACGGCGCCGTGACAACTCGATGCACGCAGTGGAAGCGCCGTGAGAGCGCCATGAGAGCGCAGACAATCGCCAACTAGAACTCCGTAGGAACGTGGTAGAACGCCATGGAGCTCCGTAGAAATGCCAAGGTCGCCGTAAGAACGCGGGACATCGACATCTTCATGAAAAATTTCAATTTGTCCTGCGATCATACGGCGCTCTGGGAAATTTAACAACGCCGTGCAATCGCAGTGGCAACGCGGCTAGGTTTGACAGGGCCTTTCTATCTATAAACGTATTTACAGCTATTTTATAGAATACACGCATATAAACTGTAAGCTGGCGTTGATTTATTATTGCTTATGTACCTTTTTTACAGTGGGTCCGCTGGCTACGTACAGGCATGCACCTTCTATAGCGGAAATGGAGATGGAATTTAAATATCTAGAGACGGGAGGATACTTCTCTCCTACAGAATGCCGAAGTGATCAGCGAGTTGCTATTGTGATACCCTACCGTAATCGGGAGTTACATCTACGTACGCTCCTCTACAACCTACACGCGATGCTACAAAGACAGCAAATAAACTACAGAATATTCGTAATCGAACAGGTGTGACTGTCACTGAATGATTATATCATATCTTTTGTTATACGTCATTTGAAATAGCGCCTTATCTAGCTGGAATTAGCTACTAGGCGCCGTACAGTAAATACATATATACATGTATAAACCATACAACCAAGTAATACAACGTTTACAATACTAAGTTACGTTTTCAGTTCTAAGCCACATGACCAATACATCCCCATGTGTACATAGTTGCAAATGTTTTGCAAGCGCACCGCCGCTATATACGTTTTATAGTAGGACAGTGCTAGCAATGTCATCGATTTTCAGAAGTACCATTTAACACGAATATTACAGAAGACACTGTGACACCGACTCCAGACATTTCTATACCTCACCATTTAAGTTATTCGAGTTACCTAGACAAAGAAAAACACACAGAACTTTAACTACTCGAATTACCCGGTTATCGTCTATAAGGTGCATCATCCTGAATAATTTTTGGACAAATTACAGTTTCCAAATAAAAAATATATGTTATGGAATTCTCTGATATCATGTCGATAACAGTATTATTTTATTTCATTATCATGCAATAGGCAGTTTATTTAGATCAAAATGACGGTTTGAAAACGTCTTTATTTATCGATCTTTTCACTTATATATGTATATCTATTATTTAAACTTTTCATCTTTCAGGCCGGGAACAACACTTTTAACAGGGGTCTTTTGATGAATATCGGATACACTGAGGCGATAAAATCTGATAATTACACGTGTTTTGTGTTCCATGACGTGGACCTCATCCCCGAGGATGACCGCATCTACTACGGGTGTGGTAAAAACCCACGCCATCTATCGGCAGCTATCGACAAGTTCAACTATAGGTATGCTTAATAGAAATGTTGTTTGATTTATATATGATACCAATTACAGGTATACATTAATTGTTATGATTTACCGATTAAGCTGTTTGGTTTTGTTTTATTTGGTTTAGCGTCTAAAAACGATTATTAACAGTTAAGGTTCATGTAATTAAATGACGTATATCAATGTGAGTAATGTAGGAAACTGTGTGTACCGGAAGCGGTATATTTGAGCGTTTGCCTTCTGGCGATAGCATTTATTTAATAGTCATTGTATTGTGCTACCTCACTGAAATAATATGCCAAATGCGTACACTTGTACAGGAGGTCGGCATATCATGGCCGGTAGACATTAGCCATTACCTTTCCCTACTTAGGTGAATGTTCAACACTAGAACCGAAAGTTATTTACTATCAAGCAAGTCAGTAGAAAATGAAAGTTTGTAAGGAAGTAGAGCGAAATTATTAAAATCTGAACATAGTGTAAAGGGTGCTGGAAGTAGAGAGCACAAAAGCCTAAGCCCAAATGGTTCTCGCATTAGTTGCTTCTAACAAGATTGAGTATATTCTTTTTTTCAATCCCCGATCTGCAGGGAAGATTTTGCAATGATAAGTAATGTTAATGTAAAAGTTGCTTTTTTATTAGTTGATTCGGCATTAACACTATAGTTTTACTATAGTAATTTTAAACATTGCAAATGTCGCATTGGTATATAATATAAAATTTATTGCTTTAACAACAATTAGGAAACAAGTTATTTCAACTGATAATTAATCACTCTTGTTGGCCCGGATGTTAGCGCGTGGGGGGTCTCAGTATAGGAGGAAACCGGAGTACCCGGAGAAAATCCACGTGGTCGGGCAGGTGACCCCAACCTTTTCACGTGCATTGGTATCATTCACCATCATAACATTACAGCAATAACGTTAACGTAAATGAACCTATTTCTGGCTCCTTACTGTCGTGTAGGTCCAGAACTTGATACGTTCTCATGAATAGTTGGGAACATAAACCTGACATATGATAAAGAAACAATTGTTGAAATAATTCTTAATTCTTTTTTAAATTGGCATTAATTTCTTATGTAACGTGTGAACGAGTCCATTTTAATATTGCAAGGTTAAAATAATCTTTACAAAAAATGTCATCCCTATAAAGTATCAGACAGAGAGTCGAATTCATATAAATATAAGCTATAGCTTTATGTAATATTTTAAATGTCTGCTCACGTGATGGGGCATTTACTGAAGCTAACTTCCTTAATGTTTTGTACCATATACATAGTGACAACAACACCAGTGCTCCGTATTTAAATTACTTATATTTACCTTTGCATGGCATTGTTACTATATAGCCTTTTTGAAAGCTGTGTCGTTGATGGGACTTTAATTACAATGCAGCACGAGACACAATTCTTCGCGTATTAATACAACACCGGCCGGAATTACAATATCTAATGTTAATAAACATGACGGCTGTTAAAATATCGCTGGGCATTGTGAGACTTGACAATGTAATTGTAAATTTATGTGCAAAAGAAAAAAGAAGAGAAAAAATACTTTTATTACAACAAAAACAAGATCACCAATGCCGGTAATGGAAACAATTTTAACACTCATGCAATTTATCAGATATATCGCCTGTTACATTGCACTGATCAACAGGGGTTCGTTACAAATGTCTGAAATACACATATTCTATAGACCTACTGACACATATGTTACAGACCTACTGATATGAGTCACATTACATAAACATTTCAGACATTTGTAACGAACCCCTGTGCTCCGTCGCAAGATCACTCTCTTCAAACGCTATCAGTTTCACGCGTCTCGCAGCCACGGTTTCCTCAGTTTCTGACGACATGTCAAATAACGAGGTTGTTATAGAATCTACCGACTGTAGTCAGATTCCCATACAATCAAAAAACNACATATCATACGCAATTGTATTGATACTGAATTGTGGAATAAAATTGAAGTGTTTGTTAAAATTTCAAAGTACTACTTTGTTTGCCAATCAGCACGCGACAATACGCTGTTCAAACTATTGAACGAAATTGTGTGGACTGTCGATAAGGCGGGCATTATATTATATTATAAATTATAAGTTAAAAAAAAACCATAAGAGGCAGAGAAAACGTAAATATGAGTATTGAACAGCTTTGCAAGCAAACAAATCATAATGCGCTAGCGCGCATTATGTTGTTTGCTTGCAAAGCTGTGTCATTCAAATAGATCATAAATACCATACAAAAACAGTTCAATGCTTAAGTAAACGTATATTCAGGAGATAGGATGGAATGATATAATGAGTTATATTTGGTATTTACAGTTTATAGAAAAGAGTAACTTAATTAACACCAATTTATTCAAACTTGTTGTTGATCTTATTCCCTATGATCAGATTATTCAAAATGAAGAAATTGTGTTTATATCTCACCGTTACACTTCTTGTAACAGACTTTTAAATGAACTTGAAGATTTCTGCGAATGGCTAAGTGATTATGAATAAATAGATATTTATCGAATAGCAAAATGCATATGTAAAATCTATGTTCAATAGGGGTCTTAAAATGTTAAGGTCAATATCAGGATCACTGTGGCTTAAAACAAGTGGGGTGCTGTCTTTATCTCGGTATCTAAAAGTCTAATGGGGTTTTTTTTCAGCTTGACATGTATTATGTTGCCGATCAAAAGGGATTTAAAAAGAATTCCTAAGGCCAAGGTCACTATTACTAGCAAATGGGTATAGGGGTACAGTTCTTATTTCGGAACAAAGTAGTTTAAGATCATTGTAAGTGTTCTTTTGCTTAAAATAGACCAAATGTGGCAAGGTAAGGCACATAGCGGGGCCCTTTCTAACCTGGTTATATGTAGATGTGCAATAGGGATTTAAAAGGTTTCTAAGTGAAGGTCCCTGTTACTGAAACACACATGGGAAGTTCGGGGATTATTGTCGTTATCTCGGAATCCAAAAGACTGATCTATTTATAATATGTGACATAGCGATACATTATGAAATGAAGATATGCAATAAGAGTTTAAAAATAATTCAGTTCAAGGTCAATGTGACTGCTAGTAAAAATAGATCTTTGCATTTACAGTCCTTATCTCGGAATCCAAAAGTGTGAGGGTTTTGCAATTCGACACGATGATAAACTATGATATGAAGACGTTCAATAGGAGTTAAAACAGTCTTGAAGGTCAATGCCAATGTTACTGTTACTAAAAATAAAAATAGACAAGGGGGGGGGGGAGAGAGAGAGATAGGGTCAGGTACAATGCGGGACCTTACTGACCTGTCAGTGTTCTAGCTATATTTACAACAAAAGTAGTATTCGTACACGAGCTACAAGACGATTCCTTTCCGTCTTTTCAGACTTCCGTATGGGAGCATTGTTGGTGGAGTCACTCAGCTGCGAAAGGATGACGTCGAAAAGATAAATGGTTTTTCGAACATGTATTTTGGTTGGGGAGGAGAAGATGACGATTTGGGTGTCAGGTACATTATTTCTTAAGAGGCCATTGCAATAAATTTCCGCCCTATAACTAATGCATCCATACTATAGTGACAAATACGTTACACTAAGGCTCTATGTTTACATTGTATTTGTAGCAGTTTGTAAGCAGTCATTTCATCGACGAAATTAAAATCATTTAATTGAGAGGAATATAGTTCCGAAACCCTACACCCTTTTCAATAATGTACATTATTTATCACTTACATATTTCAGAGACTGATAAGACTTAACTTTTTGTTCCTCTTTTTAAGGATTCAAAGCGAAAATGGGGCCTCACATGGGTCAAAAACTTTTAAATAGTTATCAAGGAAACTAGGATGATAAAACCTTAGCTCTTTTAAGTTAATTGTCACCAAATTGTGTGTACATTTTCGTTGTGTGTATGACGTTTTGGAACTATCCGGGAGACGGTCACCACGGTTGCTGCATTGGTTTTCTATCTAAATGTTACCCGTTGTATAGTGTTAGTGTAAAACGTGTTATATTGTATAATAACCATTAGGAACAATACTGATATAGGCAATTAGTTAAGACCCTCATCATCAAGGTGTCAAATGCCATGTCAAAACGTGTTAATGTTAACAACGGACAAATGTTTAGCATTGCAATAAAAAATCCACCAAATGTCTAGGACCTTTCTGTATTATAATTCTAAATTTGACCTATATTTAGGCTGAAGAATGCCCAGCTGAAGATCGAAAGATACAGTATGGTGATATCACGATACAAAATGTTAAAACATGTAAAAGATCAAGGCAATGCACCAAACCCTAACAGGTATGTATCATTTAGCATTTCCTGACTTAGTACTACTGTCTATATCGCGTCTTATCAGTCCTTTCTTTGTACAATTCGTGAAATTCGATTCAATGGCATGGGGCCGTTAGGGTCAGGGTCATCATCTTTAAATTTATTAGGCCTGATTTTGTCATTTTTAGCATGAATACCATGTCATAGATACGGCTCCTGGCTCTTAGCTCGTCTCGCTAGTTATACAGCATGTTGCCAGTCAAAGCAAAAGTGAAAGTACAAGAAAATAGTGCTTGTCACTCGTTGATACATATGGGTTAAGTTCCCAAATACATGTATGCTTTTGTTATAATGTTTCACCCTAAAGGTGAATTTACATGTAGCTCATCTTTTAACTTGAGCAATTTTAAAAGTTTACATTACGATAAACACTGCAGACCTTAACTACAACATAAGCTCCTATGGAACATCCGCACCCCTAATGCGTTAAATCAGACCAGAGGGTTGTTAATTGTAGCACAGTATTACACATTTATTGGTCTTGCTGTTGAGTTTACAATTTTGCCTTTTTATGTTTTTTACGCTGTTTTTCCTTTCAATTTCAGGATAAAGTTGTTAAAGACAGCTGCTAGTCGTATGAAAACAGATGGAGTGAACAATTTAAAATACAAAGTGTTAAACACATATAGAGGAAAACTGTTTACGAACGTCACGGTCGCAGTGACTGGAGCCGATTACGCTATATAGATGTTACACAACGAGTGGTTGTTGAATATGGTATATATTTCACTCGAGTTACTTAATTTTCAAAAGTTACAAAAGACAGGAGCTTTAGCGAGTGTCTTCCTCTAACTTTTGAAAATTAACTAACGAGGGTGAAATAAATACCATACTCAACAACCACAAGTCGTGTGATCTGTTTCTACCACAATCTCAGTCGGAAACATCTGGAGTATTTCCTGATTTGAATAGCATACACACATTTTGTTGACAAGTCTGGCGTAGTGATATGACCCATATGTAAAAAGTCACTCATTAATATTCAAAAATGTCTTTTTGTTTTTACATTTTTTTATTATTATTATTTTTTCAAATTTTTACATTAGTATACAATACAGTTACAAAATGGGGCAAAGAAGTAATTCCAACAGTGTGGACAACCTAAACTTGTCCACACTGTTGGAGTTACTTCTTTGCCCCATATAATATTTTATGTAATTCGTATCCTACGGACATACCTCCATTAGGATCCAGTGTTATATGGGATTTTACCGTCTATATTACTTCTTTGACCCATACAGTTACAATATCTATACATAACATGACATAACACAAACATATATATAAAGACACACACTCTCATTCATTATCATACAAACATCAGCACAATTATCAGAAAAGAGAGGTAGGATTGTTGAAAATTTGTATTACATTTTGAATTTCTAAGCTAGTTGTCAGTGTGAGCGTAATCAATATTTACATTTACTCAATATAACAATTATATTTATAAATTGATAAGTTACTTATGGTATATCAGTCGTAATTTCAAGTTTGGGTGTTTCAAAAAAAGTTTTGTCATTTGGCCCATTCTCTTTGAAACTGGTCTAAGTAGCTTTCTCCCTTACTTCTAGCAATGTATTTTTGAGTTGTATATGTATCTTTTAGTGTATTTTTCAGGGCAATAATGCAGAGTTCGTTCTTGAGGCACCTTGATTTGTAGATATATTGATTTATTGTAAAGATGATCATATTATCCCATTTTTACAAATTTAATAATTTTCAAAATTAATGTTTCGACAACAACTTCGTGAAAAAATAAAATAGATGAAAGACTTTAAGTATTGAGAGTATGCAATATTGCATTGATTAATATAAATTAACCACGGACTATATGCGCGTAAGCATATCGTACGAAATCTGCCTTCCGCCAAGTGATGAAGACGAACTAATCGCTGTGAATGTCCAAAGCCATAGGCCTGGGACGTTTCTTCGTGAGGTTCTATGGTTGACGTTTATAGTGAGAGTTCCGCCATAGACAGGCCCTCCAAATATTGATAATTGTACATGGGGAGAACGAAATATTTTCCGACACTGTTACAGATCTTGTTTGGGTTTCACAGAGACATATATCGGTATATTACGTCTCTGGGTTTCACGACCTGTACACGCGACGGTATGGCGTCGAAACGATATCGAGCGTCTGAAGCAATTTTGCCTGAAACTAGCGGTCAAAAGTTTAAGCATCATCTTCTTTTGGTATTGTCTTAATAATCCTCTTTTCCCATTGCATAACCTCCCAAAAGTCACCAATATTTGCCGGATGTTGACAACAGACGACGTAAACAAAACAGCACGCGGCAAAAAAGCGCGTGAAAACAATCGTCCGGTCAAAGTTCATCTTCTCGACCAATCAAAACTACGGAAGGTCATATACCACGTGTGGTGTATCACTCATATTTATTCAACAGTCTGCATGTTTATACAATGATCTGAGAGTGGAATAACACAGCGTATTGTTGTAGAAATAAATAAAATGCAATGTATAAACATAAACTATAGGTGTCCTAAATAGCCATCCTCGATACTCCAAAACTTGTTTGATCATTTGATGTACACCAAACGAATCTCGCGGTTGCGTAACGGTAAAACTACTGGCTTTGAAGTCGGATGTTGCCCTTTGTAATCTTCAAAGGGCAGATACATGTATCAGCCTACTGTTATGATTCCCTTGTACCTATGTATTGCATGGAGGCACGATAGTTTAGTGGTAGGACGCCAGGCTCGTGACCGAAGGGTTGCGGGTTCGAGCCACGGCACGGCACTGTGATGTATTTTTGAGCAAGATACGTCACTCCGCTTGTTCCAATCTACTCAGCTGTAAATGAGTACGTGGTTGGGTAGTGCTAAAATTGCTGAATGGTAGGTGTGAGCGCCGAAATTACAGCACCGGCTATATGCTCCCCAGGGAGTTGAGAAAGATATTGACTAGTTATAATTTGTGAACTGCTTTGAGACGACCTACGAACTAGGTTGTGATAAAGCGGTTTATAAGAACCTTCAATTATTATTATTATTATATTTCCATATTAACATCAGCAGAAATGCATTTCATTTGAGGATAAAAGCAAAAACTTTCGTGACGTATCACGTGGTTTACTTATGACGTCATAGATTGACCTTGTTCAATGAGAGTATTGTTGCTTAGTTTCGAATTACATTGATAATATCCCTGCATCAAACGCTTAAATGACTATGGTTAATTATTGGCGTCAATTTTATTTAAATAGGGCTGTTCCGCCAGTGTCATTTAAAGGATGACGCAAATACAAAAAACTGAAAATAAGTTTACTATTTAAGAACAAATACATTAAATTATACAATTGTTCTATAGTAAAAATTTAAATATATGGATTGAACGGCGTTTTTATAATTTGTATGTCGTTATGAACGCAAATCATTTACATCCATATTAAACATGAAGCCCTATATATATTTAGCGGGCTTCATGCAATATGGATGTAACCGATTTGCACTCATACCGGCATGAAAATTAAAAAAGAACGCCTTTTAATCCATATATAAAAACAATTCATTGTATGTATTTAAATATGAATGAGCGTATTTTCTGTATACCAGGATGAGCGAGTGTGACAGCCGAGTGACCGACATGCTTGTACAGTTTCGTTCGCCTATTTATCGTTATATTCTCACCTTTTTAAGTTGGTAAAGCTTCATAATGAAATATCCTGTATTTTGAGTCCATATTTGACCAGTCTGAACCAATATTGTCCCCATCTAGAAGTAGTTTCATTGCTTTTTTATCGTTATTTCCCAGCCGAACTGCCAGCGGCGCCTTGTTTACATTTGGCGGACTTTGGGCAGAATGGTGTCTCGTTCAAATGATACCAACTGTTAATATTATGGTACTACGAAGAGAGTGTGTGCATATATCATCTGTAAATAATCCATTCATTGCTATTTCTCATAATTAAATATCCACATGAATTTTATCCTCTGTGTTTGTCAACTTCTTTGATCAAATACCGGACAGAAAGGATCTGTATTTTTTATTAACTTTGCCCAGACAAAACAGGCAAGCGTTTCACTGCGATTGGTCATGTGTTTTTTTTACCTAAGACCAGTAAGATAGCTAGCTGTGTGCCTTTCATGAAAGTCAGCAGTGGTAAAAGTATCCAGACCAAGTGTTGTCCGCGTGATGTCTTGTTTTGCGTTCCGGGGTATGTAATTAACAGAATATCTAACAGTATCTTCAGTAATACTAACTATATTTGGCTGCGCACTTGTGTAAAATATCAAAATATTAGCCAAAGTCGTGAAATGTATTTGGTATTACTGAAGACACTGTTAGATATCCGTAATATATACCAGTACATATGTTTTGACATGCATGCGTAAACGAAGGATACGGAACCTATGATGGTCGATTTTGCCTCCAGATTCCACATAACTAACAGGGAGTAACAAACATCTTACTTAGAGACGACGAACGTTAATGAGTATGCGCTTTGCACCCTGTCGCCGTATTTCTGACCAATGTTGTGGTGAACACTATGGGAGAAATAGGGAAATAGAGTGGGTTACACATTTTTGAATATTTACATTTGCATGTCATTGCCACTATATAGCCTCTTTAAAAGCTGTGTCGTTGATGGGACTTTAATTACCATGCAGCAAGAGACACAATTCTTAGTGTATTAATACAACACTGACTGGAACTACAATATCCAATGTAAATAAACATGACGGCTGCTGAAATATCGCTGGGCATTGTGAGACTTGACAATGTCATTGTAAATTTATGTGCAAAAAAAATGAAATAAAAAATACTTTTATTACACCAAAAACAAGACCAAGGTCTGCAATATCGTACAAAATGCACATCAGTTGAAATCTACTAGAAATCACCAATGTCGGCAATGGAAACAATCTTAACGCTCATGCAATTTATCAGAAATATCGTCTGTTACACTGCACTGTCCAACAGGGGTTCGTTACAAATGTCTGAAATACACATATTCTATAGACCTACTGATATGAGTCACAGTACATAAACATTTCAGACATTTGTAACGAACCCCTGTGCTCCGTCGCAAGATCACTCACTTCAAACGCGTCTCGCAGCCACGGTTTCCTCAGTTGCTGACGACATGTCAAATAACGAGGTTGTTATAGAATCTACCGACTGTAGTCAGATTCCCATACAATCAACAAATAAATTCACGTCTGGATTCTTCACAAAATGAGTAAAGAGAAAAGTCCGAATTAACTTACAAAAATAACTCCCTCGTGGAGGGCAAGGTCGGATTTACGGTGTTCACTGTATTTATCAATGCGCCTAATTTGTTCCGGGGAAAAAATCGAAACAATTTCAAATCTAACTTTCAGCTCAGAGTTCTATTGATAAACTTAAATTACCCTATTCCGTCTTTGCGTATTGCAGAGTTATCTACTCTTGTGAGCAGGGATTGCTTGTTACGTCATTTGTTTGTGAGAGTAACGACATCAATTTTTGAGAAAACGACGTAATTTTCTCACACAAACCAATGACGTAAGAATCAATATCTGCTCACAAGAGAAGATAACTCTGCGAAACGCAAAGACGGAATAGACATATCATACGCAATATTGATACTGAATTGTGGAATAAAATTGAAGTGTTTGTTAAAATGTCAAAGTACAAATGTACTACATTGTTTGCCAATCAGCAAGCGACAATACGCTGTTCAAACTATTGAACGAAATTGTGTGGACTGTCGATAAGGCGGACCTTTTTAATTTTAAATATAAATTATGAGTTAAAAAAGA